TACATGTTATCAATTATGCATTATTATTAAATATAAGAAGTTATGTAAAGAAGAAATCCAGAAGAGAAAATAAACTAAATCCAACTATTTCGTTTATCTACCAATATTTTAAAATAATTTACCTTTTCTATCTTCTTTATTTTTTAAAAAAAGATAGTATTATACCATTTATTAATTATGAGCTTGAATTTGATTATTGAATTGTAAGTATTTATGAATTCTTATTATGGATGATTCTTAAATTTGAGGCATTTTTGAAACTGAAATCGTTTAAAAAATCAAAATGAAAATTGATGATTGTTGGTGATTAACATTGGTTCTAGTATATGTCTTAAACATATTTTAAGAGTCAGCGTCAAGACTGAATTAAAATTTTGACCTATAGGGAACTTATGAGTCTTCACTAAATTGTTAATAATTAACAAACCAGACAGTTTTACATAATTGATTTTTTTTATTTTATTAACACGTGTAAAATTTTGAGGCTGAATGTGTATCACAAACTTTGTATAAGACAAGTAGTTAATAAAGCTTCTCTAATTAACTTTAAAAAGTTGGTAACAGACATGAAAAGTACTCATCTATTACAGAAGTAATTTTTTTTAAAATCTCAATACTGTTTTTTAAAGTGATTATTGCTACTTACTGAATCTTGACCGCATTTTTAAAAATGATTATCTTTGGTAACAGACTTGACAGTAACAGATCGGAAATTTTTCTTAGACTACACAAAAATAATCTGTACCTTGAAAAAAAATTTTTTTTTTTTAAAAATTCGAAGATACATTCTAGATTTATTATAAAATGAATTTTTTAAAATACATATTTATTTTGAAGTTGTTTTACGTATTTGAAAATGGTAAAATATAAAAAAGGAATTTGACTTAATCGTTTTGGACAGCTTATTTGGTAAGATTGCTCTTTGTTAAAGTTGTATAGAAAATAAAGCGTTTGGCAAATTCTTTTGATATTATACATAATAATTCTTAACCATTTGTATTTTCTGAAATCACAAATATCTAAGCCTACAGGCTATTAAACTCCATTATAAAAAATATTCTTTTGTCATACATCAAATATGCCTCAAATTTGAAATCCATCCAGAAAAAATATGCTTTAATTTCTAATAAAATATTTTAATTGGATTAATTCGTATTTAATAATTTAATTTCTGTTGTGCATAGAATTTTGTAGTTTTTGATTAATTCATTGATAAAATTAAACTTTAAATTTCAGTTTGAACCGTTTGAAATGGAGGAAGATTAGAAGTATAATAAACGTAGTATCGGGAATATGCCTAAGTTTGCATTTCATCCATATCTGTGTTAATTTAAAATGTATTAAATCTTTTTCATTTATACATATGAGTATCAACTTATACTCTATGCATACTGTCGAAATATTTAAATCTAAAATAGTCAAATACGATTCCTAATTTTTTGTCCATTGAAGACTGTTTGGAAATGGAATAATTTTTTAAAATTTTTTTAAAAAGTCAAATACTATTCCTAATTTTCTTTCATTGAAGAGTATTTGGAAATGGAATAATTTTTTTAAATATTTTTTAAAAAATCAAATACGATTCCTAATTTTTTGTTATTGTAAAGTGTTTTAAAATGGAATTTTTTTTTTAAAAAGTCAAATAAGATTCTTAATATTTTGTTCACTGAAAAGTGGTTTGAAATGGAATAATTTTTTCTTCAATTTTTGAAAAAGTTAAATACGATTTCAAATTTTTCTTCCATTAAAAATGGAATGATTAATTTTTATTTTTTGAAAAAGCTTAGAATAAATGTGGCATTAATTATTTTTCTTTTCAAATCTGGGGCAAATTATCGAGAGTAAAAGAAGGGCTGTAAAATATATATATACCATACCGTAATAAAATTTAAACGTAATTTAGGATAAAGCTTTTTGGCCTACTACGTTATGTATAGCACATTCAATTAATTAAATAGTTTGAGTTTAATAATAAAGTTAATTTAACATCTTAGCATAATTATTTGTACAAACTTCTCACAAGGGATTCCATTTTGTTGCGTTGATAACACATTTTCCTAAAAAATTGATTTTGTTTTATGAGTAAAGTAGCTGTTCGAGAACGCATAATGTGCTATGTTGATATCATTTAAATGTCAAAACTAACGAAATTCGTTAAAACTTGCGTTTTTAAACTGAGCGCAAGAATTTTTTTATGGCGCGTCGAATCGCGTTTCAAATTAAAACAAAATCGTTTTTCGGTGTGTCTAGTAATTCTTATTAAAAATTAGTCCAATTATAATTGAAGAACTAATCGAAAAAAGGTTCTAAGTGACGTTTGCCAGAAAGAAATTGAGATTTTCGGGAAAATATGTTATTTTAGTCTCAATAATAAAATTTTTTTTTCCAAGTGTTTCACGAATCTTAGAGGATGAAAGTAGCCAGTGAAAGTATTTTTTTCTTATTTTATAACCAGTGATAAGAACCGAGTCAATTTTGAGTTGACGGCTATCGATGTTTAACTCTGTAGCATTTTAATTTTGTACCCAAAGCAGAAGACAAGGGAACTCCTGGATTAAGTATTGCTACAAACTAGCTTACGCGGAAGAATTTTTGACGGAATTTATCAGCATTTGCTTTATATGGAGAGTCATTCCATGAAAACCTCCCACGTTTTGCTCGATGGCACGAATATTTTAATCGTTTATCACTAAGGATGTTTATTGTCAGCACTGTGGTCAGTGTAAGTAGGGAGCAGAATTCGCATTAACCAACCATCGCTTGAATTCGAACTTGGTTTAGCACATAGCGAGGCGAGCGCTCTATCTCTTAAGCCATCTCGGCTAAAGTGAAAGTTCTAGAATGATTTGGGAGTGGTTTAAAATTTGCAAGTGTATTTGATTTGGCAACAAAAAGTAGACGCGTCATCCGAGGCAGTAAAAAAAAAAAAAAATCACGAATGAGAACGCTATGAAGCGAACAATTTAAATAACTGTTCTTAAGGCTTGCCTATTGTCAACAAACAAATTTTAAAGCTAATTTACTCGTATTCACTAAAATGTCCCTTAGAGTCTTCATCCATTTTGCTCTTCAATTACATTCACTTTTAGATATATACATTATAATTTTCCTTCCTTTGTCGCTGATTGTGTAAAAATTTAAACTTTCGTTATGGATTCACAAACTTTTATATTCATTCATTAATTTCTGGGAGGTGGTAACTGGGTAACGTTATTGAAAGAGTGATATTAACAAGTAGATAAACATTTTCCCTTTGGAGTTTGCAATCAACACGTTTAAAATTTACAACGTCTTAAAGTTATTAGGAAAAAACTACAACCTCACGTTCTAAGCGCGAATAACGTATTTTTTACGCTTCTCGCATTAACGACGTGATTGATACAGTAAACTATTCAAAATAGATGTCCTACTTCAACACACGCGTTGATCACGTTCGAAATCGTCTTGAAAATTATTACGAGGCTTCTAGTAATTCTTTTGCTTTTAAAGAATTATTTACTCATTAAAGTAACTTTTGAATTTTCAAAGTAATTTTTTCGCATTTCCCCTTTGAAGTACACTTTAAGAAATCATGCATCAATTGTTTCATTTCATGTTCAACAGCAGGAGTAAAAAAGTATTCTGTGAAAAAAATAACTATTGTTATCGCACAAAAGTAGCTAATCAAGGATAAGATCCAGCTGGATCGATTATTTTGAAATGATTACTTTAACTGTTGATTCTTTAAAATTAAGAACAAGTGAAAAACGAGTGTTAAGATGTTACTACAACGAAGATTTTTTTCTGGATGACATTGAGTAAATTCGGTGTGATGTTCAAATTATAAGAAAAAACCCTAAATCATTATGCTTTATTTCTTATGTTACTAACTTAAAATTCATTTTCGGTACATTAGCAATGAAACTTATCAGTTATATTTGAGAAACATTTCCCGATGAAAGATAAACAAAAAGTTTTGATTCAAAAGTGGCCAAGTTCGAAAAAAAAAATCCAAATAAAAAATATTAAAGGAAAATAAAATATTCACTAAGTTCGGAACCAAAACTTTTTCTCGTTGAAAATTTATATACCAAGTAAAGTAAAGAGTAAGGAAGTAAAATGTCCAGTAGCTTTGGTTCAAAACTTACCAAGTCCAGGTTTCTCAATTTCAAAAATAATGAAGTAGTCAAGCCAAAAATGTTTTTAAAATTTTTTTTTTCATTTGTAAGAGATCCAAGTTGGAAAAATTTCCCATGCGCTAAAATGACACTTTTAAAATGATCACAATTTTGAACTTTCCAATTAAATTTAAATGTATAAAGTTTTTCTTTAAGTTATGAACAATAGACATTAATGTTTCACGTCCAAGCTCATTATGCAATAATCGCTGACATTACAAGGAGTGGATTTGTCTGTTTCCGAATTTAAATCTTACATACAATCACGTTTCGATGCGGAAATGACAGAAAGTGGACTTGGCCATCTTTGAATCCAAACCATGCAATAATATCTCAATATCATGCAATAATATTATCTCAATGTGGAACTGGCAAAAAGTGGATTTGGCCATCTTCGAATCGAAGCCCATCATACAATAATATTGTCACAATGCGAAACTGACAAAAAGTGGACTCGGCCGTTTTTGAATCTAAGCCTATCATACAAAAATATTGACTCAATGTGGACTTGGCCATTTTTGAATAGAAGCCCATTACACTACAATATTGTTTCAAATATGGAACTTTCATCAAGGGATTTGGTCATTTTTGAATCTAAGCATTTTTATAAAATGATATAAAAGGGGGAAAAATAGCGCTTCATTTAAAAAATGTGTTTGCTTTAAAAAAAAGAATGGAGGAACTGCTTCTTTTGCTACCAGTATAACAGTAATAACTTGGTATGTCGACGTCGTAATAGAAGATATAATAATAGTAGAGTGCAGAATAATGGTTAGATGAACCCCTAATAAAATGTATGGCAAGATAAAACAGAGCTGCACGCTATGAAAAAATGCTAAACTATATCTTTAAATAACTTCTTTTTTCCTCTATTTGTTCTTAAACATTGTAGAATAAATACATCGTAAACAACAACCGATCGTGTATTTTTTTTAAACGTTTCTTTTTCAATAGTTGAAGAATAGTTGCAGTTACTGGGAAAAAAGGGGGGCACTTATGCACTGCAAATTGAGCTCGGTGAAGACCTTTTTTAGTTTCTCATAAAGAACAATCTTTTCTGTGGTGCAGTTATTGTTAATATTTTTTTTTGTTTGCTTTGAAACTGTTTACAAATCACAGGCTTTATTTTTAATATACTAAACAACAATTCGTCTTCGATACCGTTAGTAAAGATTCATTTATTTATTTTGTTTATCAAACTCTTGACGGCTTGCACACAACCAATATTTGCTCTGTTGCTATCTTTTGATTTGATAGTCATTTGCGAAGTTATAACAACAGAAGTGACTTTCACATGCTCTCTCATCACATACACACTCGTCCCTCAATCGGCGGAAAAAAATCTTCTCACTAGTGAACACTACCTTTTTCTCAGTTCATTTTCTGAGGAGAGACAGGGCCTAATCTCTTGAAGTTCCGTAATATTTGTTTCTTCTTCTTTTTTGACCAGATCTCTTAAAAATTGCAATGTTTTCCTCACTAGACTTGTCCTTAAAGAAAACTGTTTGCCGGGGCTCTTAGTTTAAAGAAACTTAAGGTTTTTGATCTATCTTCAAAGGTATTTGTCTCTTTAAGTTTTTTAGATTTAAAATAGTGTTATACTCTGTTGTAAGTTAAGTTAAAAACCATTATCCCTATGGAGAGAGCGCCTGTTTGCATCTAAGTGAATGCTAAATGGATGCCAAGTTCCAACGAATATCAACATCGCCAATTCTTTAAACCACGTAGTACGGCGCTCTTTTTGCTTATAAGAAAAAATAGCACGGATTAAATTTCTGTCCGACGAGTTTAACTTTTAAAAGCTTTTATATTGTTTTGAAAGCAGAATTATATAATTTGAGAGCTGAAAAAAAAAGGAACAGTTGCGGATGATTTTTTAAACCGGTCTTTTCTTAACTTGCAACGGAGTATAGTTTCGTTTTGTCTTTAAAGGGACTGCTGTGGACTGTGTTTCTTGAAATGTGTTCATTTAAAACAACATTATCTTTTTGTTTTAGCTTGTCTTTAAAAACAGCTATTGGTTAGATCGTTTGAGGTTTGTTGACTCATAACGCTAAGTTTTCGTCCGATTCCAAACAAGTTTTTCTTTGACCTGTCTTTAGTCAGATCTTTTAACGTTTATAAATTCAATACTTGTTTCTGTTTTCTTAAGCTTATCTTTAAAGACAGTTATTAGTTTCTCTGAAAATCTTCATTTGTGTAAATTTAAAACAACATAAGACAGTTTTGCGCTTACTTTCTAAGATCACTGTTAGCCTCTCTAAGTATCTTATCTTTTGTAAATTTAAAGGAACGTTCGATATATTTTGGTTTGTCTTTAAAAACAGCTGTTAGTCTCTGAGTATTTCCCCTCGGAGAAATATAAAACAACATTCGATATTTTTTGGTTTAACACCAAAGACAGCTGTTGTCCGGGATTTCTCATGCATGTAAATTTAAAATACTGATTTTTTTGTTGTTGTTGCTTGCTTATAAAAACAGCAGTGGGTCGGATATTTTGAACTTTGTTAATTGAAAACAACAGTAATATATTTGTTTCTCCTTTAACACAAGTTTTTCTGTGGCATGTCATAAAATGTACGGCTAGTATTTTTTAATACTCCGTGGCGTGTATTATCTATGAATACTCCGATAGTTTTAATTATTTATTTCGGACAATATTGAAAGAAAGCTGTTGGTAGAATATTTTTAAACTTGTAAGTTTAAAATACCATAAGTTTCTTTTTTCATCTTGAAGGACAATTAATTACTGAATCCCTATAAGGCTGTTTATTTAAAACTCAGTTATTATTTTTTAAAATTTTTATTTCAGGGGTTGAAATTTGCTAGTTAAGAGCTTTCTGGCATTTTTCTTTTTGATTGTTTTTGAAAAAGAGTACGATCAGCAGAATAAGGAAACAAAAATACCCCCCCCCCCAAAGATTTTGGGTATCATGATTAATTACTGAGTACACATAGATTAGTCAGTCTTATTTCTTCAAAACCAATCTGATTTTCAGTCTTCTATTCATAAGAAAATAAATTGTATTTAAATATTAAAAATGTTTTAATGATATGAAAAATAGATTTAGTAATTACCAAAGTAATGATGATGTCCATTATTGCAATTAAAATTATTTGTAAGTTCAAAATAGCATTTTTTTAAAAAATGTTTCTTGCGGTCATTGTTAAATTTCCAAATGTTTGTTAAAAATTTTAAAGCTGCGTTTGGAGGAAAAAAAATCATATTTTCATAAAACTTTTCATTTCGAAGATACCATAGCGTTTGCGTGAGTTTTTCTTTTCCAATCTACGTCATTCATTTAATTTTGTATACTTAATAATGAATTCTTGAAGTTAATTTGTTTTTGTTTTAAGTAATTTAATTGAAAAATCACGTACAATAGAGCTCTTGCTAAAAGATTCTCATTTATAATCCTATGCAAAAATTTCCACATTCGTTTCGACATGGAAATCTTGGCACAAGTTGGGCTTAAACTCTTTTTTAAGCACGCTCTCTTTGTATGATCACTTCAAGAGGATTGGCCCTGTCTTTGAGTAGAGTTATAATTTAAATTCCTAATTATGCAAAGGCAGTGTGACCAACGTTAACATTCTAGAGGTGGCTTCGATAGCCCTGATGACGTACAATGGTCCTTCTTGTAGAGAGGTGCACTCCCATCATAATATTGCTGCTGACCTTTTGGAGGATGAGGAAGTGTAGCCGATTTGTCGTTCTCACCCCTAAGCTTCCAGACAGGCGATCCTCCCTTGTCATGAGCAGCCTGGATATAAACAAGCCCACCTTTACCCAGAGAATTAGAAGTTTTGCCAGGCAACCGGTGCAAATGGTCGGATTTATCCGATCGATCAGACCTGTCTGACCTTTCAGAAGCGTCCATGTCATCCATACCATCTGTTACAGTCTTGCTTCTGGTGTGAAAGTTCTGTTCAAGGTTGTCGTAAGTTTCGACTGTTACTTCTTGTTCCATGGCTCCCGCCGAATGACGCTGGACACTCTTTGGCCTTTTCTTGCCGCTCAGCGTCCTAGCCATCGTAGCACTGCCGGATTCTGGTCCAGAACGTCTGCCGCTCGAACGTTCGCCGGATTTGTCTTTTGAGACGGGCTTGTTAACAGGCACTGTCATGTTTCGCACACTCTCGCGGATGGTTTGCCGGATAGTGCGGAGGAAGGCATTTCGAAACTCACTTGTGCTGTAAAGGAAGACAAAAAATATCTAAATCACATCAATCAATCTATCTAAATCACTTAGAGTTAGTATTAGGAATGTTTTAGTCAAATTAGCATAATATTTGCAGTGGCAACTATTTAAAGCTTTCTAACTTATCCTGGTAGGGAGTGTATGTACACCCTTTTCTATGTTGCTCACAGCATCCGACTATAGGTCTGGTCTGCGTCAACTAATATTAATCGCAATCGCGTAACTCTTTCATTTCTCGGCAGGTGGTAGCACTGCATTACTTTGTCTCGTTCTATGATTAGTCTTGATTAAACAAATAAATCACATGGGTTTCAAATGACATCAAGGCTCAATCACGGTTATGCTGCCTCTCAAATACGTAAAACGTTAATGACTAACAATGAAAATAAACTCGTTCACTGGAAGCTTCTTAACTCACCTTGTTTGAAAGTATATACCCTTTTCAATGGAGCGTCCAGATAAAGACAGAAAGGTCTCCTGGTTCGATCTCAGCCGGAGCCAACGAACATGTTTCCTGCTCACTTCCACACATTTATTCAATGATGCAACTGTCCCGCAAAGAGGGCTGATCGTAAAGACACGGTTCCCAGTAGAACACCGAAGTCAAGCATCACTGGCTGCCGTCACTAAGCGGGTGGTGGACCATTTTGATCAGCCTGCTTAGGTACCGAGGGTGCGCGGTATCGGTCCTCGTTAAATAGTTCTACCTTAAAGCTCTCGACTTCGCGCTCAAGTCATCGGGCTACCAAAGCATGGTAGCCATCCCCTCTGCAGAGGATCTAAATTGCGATGGCATGTTTTCGGATCATCTTCAGAGATGCTTCCCAGACCGTCGCCAATAGCCTATTGTGAAGCTCTAGTGTGACGTAAATAAAGTATCTACCTACCAATAATACAATTAATCTATGCTTATTCAAGAATTTTCTTCTGACAGTCACGATTTTTGTTAATGGTATAAAATTATTATTATTTTTTAGTCATGATTTAATGTATAACATTTATTACACTTGTTTATCCCCATTTTGTATTTCGGATTATTTAATAAGCAAATATAACGCAAGCAAATAGCAAAACATAAAGTTTCAGAAAAATCAGCAGAAATATCTCGTAAAACATGATAAACGTATTTTTACATCCTTACCTGTAGAAAATCTAGAAATTGGTGAGGTTTAGCACTTACACGTAGCATACCGTATGTTCACATTTTTTTGTTCTGAATAGTGGAATTTTTTACTGAATAGTCTCAGCTTTCGGCCGAACTTGCGCAAAACGTACGTGCTTGAATGTTACAAGAAAAATCTCTCTGAAGTTTAGTAGCAAAATGCTTTTATATTGTTTCCGGCAGCACAATTCAAATGTTTTCATTAAATTTAAAATTTTTTTAGTTATTTCATGTTATGTGAAAATTATATTTTTTCGACTTTACATTCGCAAAAAAAGTCTTACATTAAAAGTATTTTTGTTAAAAAAGAAGAAAATAATTGGATATTGTGAGACCAACCTGTTAGAGAGTTGGTAAATCTTTTCTGATCTCCTCTGCATCTGGGATCTCAAATGTATGAGTTCCCAGAGGAAGTGGGAATCACCCTCCTTCACACAACCAGCTCGAACTTGCACCTCCGTTACGGGTATGAGCACCTGATAGCGGATGATTTCCACCTCCGTTGCACCCGTTTTACTCGAACCTCCCTGCAGAAGAAAAAAGAGATAGTGTTGGGTTTAGGGCATAAATTCCATAGCAAAATCTTATATTTATGAAGGATGATTGATATATAACTAACGAAACATATTCAACCATGAGTTATGAAACTTAAAGTAAGTTATGAAACTTAAAGTAAGTTATGAAACTTACTAAATACACAGTAAAATCTTGATGGATACTAAAAATCGAAAGTTCAGGTTTTCGAAAATCGTAATATTTTTAACATTCTAGTCAAAATAGTCAGTTCAATCGTTTCAATAGTTATAGAGAAATTGAATTTTGAAAAAGATATTTAAAACTGATTTTTCAGGAAGTATTGGAGAGATTTCGTTCAATTCTTGTATTTAATCATATAAAATTACATTCTTTAAAATGATGTAAATATTTGTATACCTTGCGATTTAAAAATTTATCGACTGTGATTAAAAAAATATTTATAAATAATACATCGCTAAAAATTATTTTTTTGAATGGAATTATCTTAGGATAAACGAATTTTATAATTGTGTGCAGAAATTTTTTAAATTCTCTTTAAAAGTTCTCGAGATGTAGCGAAATATGCAGGCAGTAATTAATTAATATTAGAAGTCAACTTTTCACACCATTAAAATTGAATACTAGTACTTGAAAATTCGATCCCTTAGATCAAAAGTTATCTGAGTAAATTTTTTTTTGCACACATTGTACATGATTTTGGTCCATTTCGAAACTTAAAACCACACGTTAAAGCTACGGTTTGCTAGAAATAAATTACTTTAAAAGTTTCTTTCTTTCTTTTCTATAATCGAAATAACAAATGCAAAATGGAATTCAGACTCTTTTCGTAATATCGAAAACTTCGATATTTCGAATTTCACCTAAATGAGAGTATGCTGTAATTATGATAAATGAGCTTTATTTTTGAATGAGGAATCAGTCCATTTTTTCACATTATTGAGATACATATAAGGGTTAGCGTATAAATGAATTTAAAACTATTTTCAAAGGTTAATTGATTTGGGTGGTACTTTAAATACTATAATGTGATTCAACTTTAGACTGCATTAACGATTTTTAAAATCGACTATTTTTTTGCTCACTTATTCCACTTTCAATAATAACATTTTATTAGAAATAAAAGCAAGTTAGTCCATATTTTTATACACATTGGCTTTTCATAAATATAATTTTTAATGTAAAAAATAATAATTAAACGTAGACAACGACTAATTAATTTTATTAATAATTATAATTTATGGTATTCATAACAAGTAGGTGCTAGTAAGACAGTAAACTCATAATATTGCTGTATTTTCCTTTTTTTTTTTATAGATCTAACCATGTTAAGCAGTGGTAATATAGTAATGTTGTTGATATTTTTTAATTTATTCTTCTTGAATTATTTCCTTTCATAACAACTATATTATTTGATTAATATGTACACACGCAATTAATGGGTATAGGAGACATAACTAAATAGTAGGACTTGCGTAAAAATACTAAACAAAAGTAGATAAATTATTTCGAAACATGATTGGCAAGTTCTCATTGTGCATGCACTTATTGGTGCAGTACTTATTCTTAGATAGAGTTGCTTAACGAGTGATTATTTCCACAACCTACAGTAACAAAAGAAAAGAGGTTTTTTGACTTAGGTTAAATCTACTTATCTCACTTTCAAAAACGTGTTTTTGCTCTAAATTTAACTTCCATTGAATGTATGATTATAAATATAAAAGCAAAATATCTTTCATCTTTATACATCTTTATTCATCTTTATTTATCTTTATCTATACATAATAATAAAAGCGGCTGTGTGTGTGTGTGTCTGTAATCACAATATATCGCCCCAGAAGCCTCGCCCAGGCTCGAAACTCGACACATAATTGTGTTTTGACATAATGAAGAAGTATTTTTTTTCTTTTTCAAAAATTTGGATTAGTTTTTTAGTTATCAGTCATTTTGTAAGAAAATCTATGCTTTTTCGTCTTCAAAGAGCCATATTCAAGAAACTATTAAAAAATGGGGAT